CATACAAGAACGTAAGGCCGTAACACGCAAGCAGTAAGTGAATTGACCAATCACAGTAGAGATCGTAAGGCCAGTAGCGAATCCGATGTTACGATTTCCTTACTGATTACTAGACTGCGGAACTTTATGCAAAATACTTGACTAACCGAATATTAACTATCGGACAGTTTTAGCAGTCAATCGTTGTTCGTTAAAGAGTTATTAAAAGGTGAAGTAAAAAGATTGAGATTGCCATCTGTAAATTTACAAAATTGCAAAATATGCATTTTATGCAAAACATTCAGTTAAGTATTTTGCATAAAGTTCCGCAGTCTAGTAATCAGTAAGGAAATCGTAACATCGGATTCGCTACTGGCCTTACGGTCTCTACTGTGATTGGTCAATTCACTTACTTCTTGCGTGTTACGGCCTTACGTTCTTATATGTGTCATGGGCTTAAGAGTCAATGGAAAGTCGATGAAGTATTTAAGAAGCGTTAAAACTCTTTGTTCACTTCTTTGACGCTTCGACAAGCTTTATATTTTCATCAAGGATAGCATGTAAGCGCGGTAACACGATTGTTATAAGCGCGTTCTGAATACAGACCTGTTGGATTGCACCAACGTTACTTTTATTTTAAGCGAGGCTTGAAACTCTCTCTATCTTTTTCCCTCTTTCGGTTTTAAAGAAAGAAACTAATAGTTTGGTTTAAAATTTCGAAATCGATACATTTTTTACCATTTCTTAGTATAACATGGCGTCTCAGCTGTCGTGAGAACATTTGCTTGATATGAAAGCTTTGCAACCCGAACATACGAAATAATAGTTCCCAAACACATAATTTGCACGAACATACAACGTCGAGTTTTTAGAATTAGATTTAGACGCTTTATCGCGACGAATTCGTTGTACGAAAATTGATACGTACGTGTGACTTCGTGTATCATAGGCTGCGTGTGATATTCCTGTGATGGTATAAAAAGACATGACAATGTGCGGTGCGCGGCGCGACATCTAGCGCTTTCATCGGAGTTCGAGCTTTGCTTTAGGATCCCCTGATGCTAATACAGTCCTCGGATTGACTTACGACAGGGCTCGGCAAGATTTGCACTTCTCGGCTGATTTTCAACTTGGTTCCGTCTTCTGCTATTCCGCTCACCTCTCGCTCCGCGTGCAGTCCAAACTCCAATTACTCCAAATGCCGCTCGACGTTTAGGAGTGTATGACGCTCGTAGACATGAGGTCCACTCGCTTTGGGCGCTCACTAAAATTTATATATAAAAATATATATATTTATATATTTTAATTGATACACTCTCTATTTTTTTTTATTTATAAAACATTTATTTTATTTCTGTATATATAATGTTTCATAATAAAATATTACACAGTGTGAATTAAAAAATACGTGAAAAATACGTTTTTTAAATTATAATTTTAAAAACGTTTCCGGTGAAACGTTTCTTATTAATGTTTAACGGTTATAAAACATTGGATATGTTTAAGAAACGTATATAAAACATTCCGCTCTAAGGACTTAGGAAAAAGTTATGATTGGATTTTAGATGACGTCACAACCGAAGGAATTGTGGAAAGTCATGAAACGCGCCCAAACGCCGCACCGCGCCGCACTCGACTGACTCGACTGGGTGTGTTTACTCGGAATGCTTCGAATCTTCGTTTGATACGATTGAGGGATTTGCACATTATACGAGGTAAGAAGACGGAAATCAGTTCTGTTATCAACGTATCGATAAAAGTCTTCTCATATAATAAAGGAACTTTTCTAATCTAAGGAAACATAAGATTTGTTTACACGAATTAATAAGACTCGAAAGAAATGGGAGAAACACAGTGAAAGCGGGAAAACGAAAATGTATGGCCTACGCTAAAGTGTTCAAAAACCTTCAATAGTGATATTATAATTTGAATTGAGAGAGAGAGAGAAAGAAAGAAAACACTTGTCGAAAATGATTACCATTCTCCAAACAATGACGCCAATCATCATCGCTTGCTGGTTCTACTGCCTGTTGGGCGTTGTCGGTCAGTATGAATGGCAAGCTCGCGACTCCTTCGACGAGATTCGCATGCAGATGGATAAGGTGAACGAGGATAATTGCCAAATACAGCACCTCGGCGATTTGTATCTGCCGTATGACTCGGTATCGCATTTGCCTGACATAAAGGACATCAACATCAATCCAGTGTTTCCGAATCGTACAGCTCTGTTACATCTTCATAACATGGCACTTAGCAGGAGCTTCTTCTGGAGTTACATTTTGCAATCACGCTTCATCCGACCAGCGATCAATGATACTTATGATCCTGGCATGATGTACTATTTCTTGTCCACAGTAGCAGATGTTTCTGCTAATCCATACATCAATGCTTCGGCTATCTATTTCTCACCTAATATGTCTTACTCGCCTTCCTATAGAGGTTTCTTCAATAAAACTTTTCCCAGATTTGCACCACGAACTTTCAGGGCGGACGACTTCAATGATCCTATACATTTGGAAAGAATATCCACTAGAAACACATTTACTGTACAGGATTTAGGGTCATTTCCTAATACCAGACTCAGTGATGATTACACCACTGATTTTTATCATATAAACGAATGGTATGTGAAAGTGAACAGTGGAAACTATTGTATTAAAAAAAATTATCTAGTATAAAACTAATTACTTTTATAATGTATATAATTTTCAATGAACTTTTATATTTAAAATAAATTTTACTAATTGATGGGTATAGAATCATATATTCTACTTACTCTTGAATTCATTTATTTACAGGTACAAAAAATGGTTACCAGATAATGTAGGTAAAAGACATGATACCAAAACGACGTATCACGTTGAAATTCGTTATGCTAACAACACAAATGAAACATTTAACTTCCATGGTCCACCTGGTAATGAAAGAACTACAGAAGCTACTTTAGAATGTTAAGTTTGTATTTATTTTCATCATTTAATTTTATTATGCAGCTGCTGATGAATATCCTGGACCTGTGCAATGGACTAGACCTTATTTTGATTGTGGCCGATCAAATCGATGGCTTGTAGCTGCGGTATCACCTGTAGCAGATATCTATCCACGGCACACTGGTTTTAGGCATATTGAATATCCAAAATACACTGCTGTTTCAGTTATGGAAATGGATTTTGACAGAATAGATATAAATCAATGTCCTAAGGGTAAAGGAAATAGTGGTAACAACAGATTTGCTAATACCGCAAGATGCAAGACTGATACTACAGAGGTATATATTTAAATCCTATTAAGTTTATTTTAATGAACAATTAACTAATACACACATATGTATCCGATCTACAGTGTGAACCGATACATGGTTGGGGTTTCAGAAGGGGTGGATATCAATGTAGATGTAAACCAGGTTATAGATTACCGACCGTCGTACGACGACCTTATCTCGGTGAAATAGTGGAGAGAGCCACACAAGAACAATACTATAATGGGTTCGATTGTTCACGGATCGGCTGTATGCATTAATATGATTTTATTATTTTTTTTTAACTTGATCACAGTATTGCCAAGCACAAGAATTTTTTTAACGAGAATTTTATTCTGCAGGGCTTCATAAAATGCCAGTACAATGGGAGAAAGCAAAACCATATCTCAGAGAAAAATATCTCGAGCAATATCATAATTATAGGAATTATTCAACTGGTTCATCTTCGTTACAGGATACACAGTTGAACATCGACCAAGCTCTTAAATTCATTTTGGGCATGAACAAGGACACTTGCAAGAGGTATGTTATCCTGTTAGCACATTGTACATTTCCTATTATTGAGATATCCGAATTTGCGCAATTTTCAAATTGTGATTTCAGTAAAACGTTACCAGAGTTAATGTTACGTGGAGACATTAGTTTTGGTGCAGAAGAGTTTTTCGAAAATGAAGCGAAAATGGCGACCAGATTGGCAAACTTTATCAGTGCGTTTCTACAAATATCAGATCCCTTGGAAGTTTACTCTGGCAAGAGAGTAGCCGACAGACCGCTAACAGAAGATCAAATGATAGGGGAGACACTAGCCTTGGTGCTTGGCGATACAAAGATATGGACAGCTGGTACTTTCTGGGATCGTAATAAATTTACCAACAGAACATTCTTTGCCCCATACGCTTACAAGACACAGTTAAATACGCGCAACTTTAAACTCGAAGATTTAGCTAGACTCAATAAAACAGGTAAAATAAAATAAGATGATGACTGAAGATGGTCTAATTAAGACCGAAACGTCTATATTTTATTGTTCTTTGTATTAATACTTTTAATAAGTTGATTATTGTTTGCTGCCAACATCTTGCATAGTACTGTATGCCCTTTATAATATTGTTTTAAAATAAAATAATTTATTTAACAAGTTGAAATATAATTTAAATTGAAACGTATATTTTAAATCAAATTCTTTTTTAACTAAATTTATTTCATTAGAGTGAATTATATTCATATATAAATGCATGTAAATTTTGTAAATATAATTAATTTCGGTTCATTATTATGTTTGTTGATTTACTCTAATACAATTTATGTGATTACAGATGAAATATACACGAGAAAGAGTTATTTTCAAGCATTGAAGCAACGTTGGGCAACAAATTTTGATCAATTGGAGAAATACTATATGAAGATAAAGATTCGATTTAATGAAACAGGAGAGCACCTGAAAAAGTACGAGCATTATCCAAATTATTACAGGTAAAAAAAATGTCATTTGTTAGTGAAAAATTTACGTGATTGTATTTTGTCAATGTGCTCCAAAGTGATGATAAAGCAGTGGAGCATTAAAGTATAAAAGGATTATATGTTCCCGAAAGTTTGGGGGGAATCCAATCTCTAAAGTACGATTTATTCTAATGTATGGGAATGCGGCGAATATATATGGGCTGTCTGTGTAGGGCAGCAAACCTGGACCATGGATATTGGACAACTCCATACTTCGATTGTAACGGTACGAATAAGTGGGTAATTACCTATGCATCCCCATTTTTCGGCTGGGACAGCTTGAAGGTGAAACTGGAATTCAAGTAAGTGTTCTCATCGGAATGTAATCACATAATAGGAAGGAGTGCACTGTGTATGTACGTATTTATGTATGTGTGTATGTTTGTATATATATGTGTGCATATATATGTATGTATGCATGCATACACATGTAGGCGTGTGGATATGTGTATATCTGTACATGCTTGCGCGCATGTATCAAAGAAATTTAATATGAGAGACACTGTAGAGACACAGAACCAGTTTTGTAATAAAAAGGGAAAAAACGAGAAAGATTATATTTAATAGTAAGATACTTACAGGGGTATCGTGGCTGTTACTATGGATATGCTTCAGTTAGATATAAACCAATGCGATGATAAATTTTATAAACCAAATGCATTCAAGGATACACACAAGTGCGATAGAAAAACATCATATGTAAGCAGGCATCATTCTATTTTATTGAATAATAATGTCTGTATTATGTAAATGTAAAATATTACAAAATATTTTTATATTTCATAATTTCAAAGCACTTTCATCAAACTATAATATTACTATAATTTTAATTACTTAATAATTTTAATAATTTTATTAATAATAAGTTTTAAACATTTAATTTCCATAGTGCGTACCTATTCTTGGAAGAGGATTTGAAACAGGTGGATACAAATGTGAATGCAAACAAGGCTTTGAATATCCATTTGAGGATTTAATTACATATTATGATGGACAATTAGTGGAAGCTGAATTTAATAATATCGTTAATGATACAGAAACAAGGTAAATTCATTTTTTTATACTTTTTCTCTTTGTACAAAAATTATGTGTCTTAAAATTATCTACTAATAATTGCGTAACAAACGATTTATAAATTTTATAATAATTATTAGGTGTACAACTTTGCTTCCGCCGTTTTTTTTCCGAAATTCGAGGCTTTATTGTAAAAAACTGGTTATACATTTATGATTCAAAGTATTGTCCGTCGCTGGCCACTATTTTCTCCCATCTTTCGGGCAGCGTATAAATCCCGCGTCGAAAAAACTGGTCATCTTTTGAGGCGATCCACGAATCGATTCAATTTTTTACTTCTTCATAATACCGGAAGTGCTGGTCAGCCAGGCCTTGTACCATTGATCGAAACAAGTGATAGTCAAGAGGGAGCAACGTCTGAAGAATACGGCGGGTGGGGTAGGACTTCTCATTTCAACGTTTTCAAGTATGTCTTGACCACTTTCGCAACATGGGGTCGAGCATTGTCATACTGCAAAATCACTTTATCGTGTCTCTTGTTGTATTGCGGTCGTTTATCTTTCAATGCTCGGCTCAAACGTATCAATTGCGTTCGATACCGATCGCCTGTGATTGTTTCAGTCGGTTTTAACAGCTCATAATACATTACGCTGAGACTGGTCCTACCAAATACAGAGCATGACCTTGGAGCCATGAATATTCATTTCGATACCGATCGCCTGTGATTGTTTCAGTCGGTTTTAACAGCTCATAATACATTACGCCGAGACTGGTCCTACCAAATACAGAGCATGACCTTGGAGCCATGAATATTCGGTTTGGCCGTCGACGTGGAAGTATGGCCGGGAACTCCCCATGATTTTCTGCGCTTGGGGTTATCATAATGAACCCATTTTTCGTCCCCAGTCACAATGCGATGCAGAAATCCCTTCCGTCTTTGCCTTTCAAGCAGCTGTTCACAAGCAAACAAACGCCGTTCAACATCTCTCGGCTTCAACTCGTACGGCACCCAATTTCCTTGCTTCTGAATCATTCCCATGGCTTTGAGGCGTTTGGAAATGGCTTGTTGAGTCACTTCCAATGATCGTGCCAATTCTTCTTGATTTGTGAGTCTTGATCAAGTAATGTCTCCAATTCTGCATCTTCGAAAACCTCCTCTCTTCCACCACCATGCCGGTCTTCGACGTCAAAATCATTGTTCTTGAAGCGTTGAAATCACTCACGACACGTTCTTTCACTAATAACGGCCTCACCATAAGTATTTGAGAGCATTCGATGAGCCTCACAGCTGCAGATTTCTTCATATTGAAGCAGAAAATTAAAACCTCCCGCAAATGACGAAAATTTGGCTCGTAAACTGACATTTTCAATCGAGAATAACTATGATGCAGACACAAATCGACTAATGTTTCTATGGGGTTATGTTGACAGATGCCCAAGTTCATTGTATTGACGTCTATGGGTGCGTTCCACTTAACGCCCGCGACGCTCGTGGAATTATTTTATCCTTGTTGTTTATCAAATATTAAACAAGGACAAACGATGCTTGCGAGCCTTGCGAGTGTTAAGTGGAACGCAGCCTATGATCTATTTATTTCGACCATCATTTACCGCTAAAGCCATCTATAGGAAAACGGCGGAAGCAAAGTTGTACACCTAATATATATTATTGTTTATTATTATTATTGTATGATTTATTGATATGTTATTTTAGATATGATATGTTCAAGTGTCGATTGGCTGGTGCTTCGTCAATTCAAGTAAATTGGATATTACTGTTATCAGTACTGATGATATTCTTTTTAACTCAAAGAAGAGTTGAAAACGTCTTTAATATTTTATAAGACAAAATAGCTAGTGCTACAATTGCTGTATTAGCAATTACCTTTTTTTAAGCCGTCCATTATAAACGTAAGTACTAAAAATATTTAGGATATTCCAAATCTACCGCACCATCTGCTAATGGCAGATTCCTGAAGTTATTTTGAGATGAAAATTCTAATATCAAAATGTTGGGGTATAATAGTTTTTGAATTATAAGTATTTAAAGTTAGCGAATCATGTCGCTTAAAGTTTGCGCATTTATTAGGTTGACATTTTGTTCGACGGTACAGTGCAAAATCCAATGCCAACATCTGAACTCACGAACTTTAGGCGATATGATTAGCTAACTTTAATCCCTTCAGATCCTGTGTACATTTTAGTGTACATCAATTTTGAACACATTATCCATTGAATTTATAATTTAATGAATTTTGATTTAATTCTATCGTCATTTTCTGAGATCTGATGCACTCAGATCTTTACCATTTTGCAATTTTCGTAATACTTTAGGAGACATTAATTTCTAAAGATTACTGAATAAGTATGTATCCGCGCGAACTATTGCCAAGTATACGCCCATCTGTCATGGTTGCTTGTTACTCGGGGAATGCTTAATAAGTTCTCTACTTAAGTTATGGCGCTTAGTGCCTATCAGACAGTCCCCGTAAAGCCCGTATCAGACTACCGATTCTGCAAGCCAACCCGACTGCCAACTCTGACTGTCGACCAATAATGAACCAATCACAATAAGACTGATTCAATGTGATTGGTCCATTATTGGTCGGCAGTCAGAGTTGGCAATCGGGTCGGCTTGCAGAGTCGGTAGTCTGATACGGGTTTAAAGGATTTTTCGACAGTTCAACCGTTCTATTTGCTCACGAGAAATGATCCTGTAGGTTGGAGACACCCTGTATATAAGGATGTCTCAAAATAATCGCCAAATATGGACAGGTAGAGCGGACTAAACTGAGCCGAAAAGTTTTCTACCATTTTGCAAATTTTGCAATAGTTAATAAGATATTAATTACTTAAAATTATTGAAAATTGATCTTCAATAATTTTTTACTCAAATACTATCAACTTAAAAAAAAACTGCAAGAGAAAAATTATTTATTTTTTTCTCATAGAGCTCTAAAAATGTTTTATCGCTAATTGATAGCGCGCAGTTGTGATGTAACACGCTACCATTAGTGACGTCATAATCGTGTTTGTTAGCGCTATTTGCAACTCTGCAAACAGTTTCTGCGTCCCCTATACTGCTCGTACCATATTCTTGGTACATATATTACATATGAATGAATTATGAATCAAATTATTAAATACGATTTTTGTAATGATAAATGCACATGAGACAATAATTTATTATATTTTTATATCTATAATACATTGATAGAATTTCATATCGAATCTCTGCATAAAAATTTTCGGAATTTTATGATAACGTGATATTGAAGATAAGAACAATTGTGTTAATTTTTTTACTCATTCAATTATAATTATAATTAATGATGCGAATGACATTAAATGATCTGATGGATTCAGATAAATATAACTGAGCTATAATCCGTCCAAAAACGAATCCATCCGATTGTTTCCAAATCTCCGACACTTTATGTAATGTAACAACTGAAAAATGTTCTGTAATATGAACTGTTTATCATAATATCTATTAATATTTGATAAATATGCTTTTGTAGAAACTTATATTCTTATTATAAGCTAGCTTAACAGAAATGTAGAAATCTAAATAGCAAAATTTATCAAAAACAGTGCAAAACGTTAATTTTGTCAACAAAATATTAACAGAGAAATACATCAAAATCTGTTAATAGACGATTGCAGATTAACTACAGTCTATTGTTAGATTATCTCAATAGACTTTAAGGCGATCACACACAAAATGACATAAGCTGTATAGCATAAGGCCTTTGGATAAACATCCGACATAAAAACGTCATATTGATTTACATAAGATGTTCATTAGTCCAGCGATTTTATGCTATGGTTATACAGCTTATGTCATTTAGGACTATCCAGGGACTTGGACTGAAATTTGCAACCGGTTGAAATTTGCCTTATAGATAAGTTTACTACTATTTCTATTTCCGTTAGATTACGTAGATCTAAAGCTGATTGGTTCATCGGTTAAGTTTACGCCTGTTATGAAATTTTGTTTGCGGTAGCGCTTAGTGTGTGATGGCCCTTGTAAAATATGATGAGCCTAGTGCAAACATAAACAGTTGATATCAATTTGTTGCAATATTCTGTTCGAATTTGCTAGTAAACTGATATTGTTAACATTTTGTTTACTATATGTACACTCATGAACTTAAAAGGTTGCAGCTTTTTTTTCAATGGATTTTGGAACTGTCTTATCCCCAATTTCTTCACTTCCAGATAAGTTGCGGATAACCTTATCCAGGAGATATCTTCATTGTATTCTGGAAGATATCTCTTGGATAAAGTTATCTAGAGGTGAAGAAATTGGGCATCACTCGTAGAGTGGTTGAACTTAAATAGATCCGTAAGTAAGAATCAATTACTCGGTGAGTAGGTTGCATTCCGAAACTTTTTTCATGTAAAATACTATCGGAAAATGTGTTACAGCTGTTCAGTTGATGAGTGTATAAGAGATTGGGACTGCGCTCGATCTTTGGACGCTTTTAGCGCTTCTATCTTTACGTCTAACGAAGGATAAAGATAGGATGATTATAAGCACTTAAAGCGCGTAAGCATTCAAATTTCTACACAGTTTTATATAGATTAATGTTTATATATACTCGTATATATATATATATATATTTATATACATATTTATATACATATATACATAATTATAAAAAATACAATTTTTTTTATATTTGATATATTCCAAAGACAGTGTTCATGGACAAAATACAATACAGTCCACAATAAACGTTTGCTAACAAACATTTTTATTGTGTTTTAATTATAATTATACGTAATTTCATAAATTTTATCATAATATAATCTTATCCATTTACGCATTTTAGTATCTTTTCTATTTACGATTTACATACATTTAAAGTTTCAGAAAGAAATATGGAGCACATTTTAATTGAGTTTATATTTATACACAAAATATATATAGTATGAATTATATCTTAAAATTATTTATATTATCTATAATATGATTTGTTATCTATACTATAATAAATCGATATTGAAACTCGACAACAATATAATTGTAGCTTTTTTGTATTTAATATATTTAGTACTTAGTATTTTACATGAAAAACAAATATTTTATGTCAGTTTATATCATTGTTGCTATCATATAATTTTATTTAAATACAGTTTTTATTTTAATAAAATTTTAATTTGTGATTTAATTTCTAAGATACTTGATACTTTTCTATAAAAAAAAAAATAATCGTACAAGATTTAATAAGAGCATTCAATCTCTTAATTAACAATTTTTTCGTTATTTTTGAATTTAAAAATTAGTGGAGAGAGAAGTTGATAACACATTATTCATCAAGAAACAAGTTTTGTTTATATATTTATATATTTTACAAATGTCTATATAACATGATCTTCATATATATATTAATACAAAGTCCTATTGTTTTAAAGTCAATATCATGTATATCTTTCGACTTACTGTTCTTTCTTACTAAGATAATGATGCTTAATAAATCTACAACCTTGCGTAATTTGTGCACCCTCATTGACAAAGTGGCAGGCAAATAAAAGCATGTTGCGTGGCTGCACCTTGATTGCAAATCTCATGAACATTGCTGAATATAAGCATAAGGCTGAAAAAAATCAGCATAAAGTCTTGAAAATTGATACCAGTAAATGCGAAACAATTACGAAAATTCGAAGAGCTATTCACATATCAATTTTTATAAATTCTACAATAATATAGAACAAGTGTGTGTTATAAAGATTCACATAGTGAATATTTATCTTCTATTCTATAATTGAATACAAGATAATTAAATTAAAAAACGAAAAAAGCAATATTCCATCCAGTGTCGGTTTACATTGGCTTGCATTTTTTACTTACTATAATTTTTTTCTTTGAAGCCTTATTATTCGAAATAGATATTGTTATATAATAAAAACACTGATTGCCAAGTATGGTTTTAATTCTAATTTTATTAAATTTTACTTAAATTATCATAAATCCCTTGTAGCTAGCATAAATACAAAATAAATATCATAAATATTGTAAGTTAATAGAAAACATATTTAAAGGAAAACAGTTTAACTGTATGCTTACTAGAACTTAACAAATACAAATCATTAACGCGAATTAGACGAATAGATACGTAAATCGAATCCTTCAAATACCTTGAAACTCGTGAACAAGATGCAATGCATGTAGTAAGGATAATTGAACTAACCAAAGGTCATTTTACCACTAATGTACTTGGGATCCCTCTGGATATCGGCGATGGCAGCAATCGGTATCGCCCAGTTAGCAACGGGTCCCCAAAAGTGCGTGCTAAAAAAATGTTATTATTCATCACATAATATTTAATGCATACATGCACCGTCACGACCTGTATAAGTATTGATAATTCAAAATGCGCCCGACTTGACGTTCGCACAATTCATACTGCTTCATGTTAAAACTTAAATGTGTATGAATTTAATAATTTGCATTCAAGTTACACACAAGAGACATTTACTAATTATAGTTTTACTACTAATTATAGACAGTTTACTAATTATAGTTTTTGTACATTCTATCCATAGATTTCAAGCAATTTATAATAGGATTCACAATGAAAAATATAGGAAAAATCTTTGTTATATTAAAATAACGGAAAGGAACAGTTACTATTCTGTTACTTCTATAGTTACAATTTGATAATGTTGCAATTTTTTTATGACTATAATGATAATTAACTAAACGTTGAAATTGCGCTAAGGTTGGAAAAATTATTTTAAAAAATAACTTGCATCATATACATTACGTGTCTATTTTTTGAAAAAAGTAATTTGTAACTAACGAGTAATGTTATTCTTTACAAGTAACAACTAAAAAGTAATGAATTACAAGTACCAAGTTAATTTTTTAAGTGACTTTCAATTCGTTACAAGTAATGATCATTTGAATGACTTTCCAACCGTGATGTTACCATTACAGTTAAAAAAAATTCGTTATTGCTAAATCATTATTATAACAGTCATAATAGGGTAACAGCGTTAAAAGTAACTAAGTTCTATTCCCTGAAAATAACAGCTAGAATCTCATTGAGAATAAAATAATCAATTTAACTTTCTGTTTAACACATAACAAGTAATCTAAAAATATCATTTACCTGGATCTTGACAATGAGTTTATAATTTAGATTAGACTTATCTATTTTAATGTTTTACATCCATATAATTTTAGTAAGCTCGCCAGTACATTCGTATTTCCTTTCAAATATTTCTGTACGCTTGTTTACCGGATATTTGTGAAGCTTTACAAAGGCGCTTGAATACGATATTAGTATCACATCACTCCTGTAAAATCTAACCTCGCAAAAACAATAAAGTAGTAAGTCTTAAAGAATTGACCAATCACAGTAGATTATTCTTCTCACATTCGACTGTGATTGATCGATTTTTTAAGGCTTAAGGCTTACTACTCTATTGTGTTTACGGGGTAAAGGATAAACAACGATGCTAAAATTATATTAATAACTCCATTGTCAAGATAATCTATCTCTAAATTCACATGTCAACTGAATAACTTGAATTAGTTGGATGAGAATTATTTACCTATTTTAACACTCTACGAATCATTCTTTTCATTCTTTTTGTTTACCTAATATTAAACAAGGACAAATGATGCTCACGAGCGTTGCAGACTTCGAGTCGAACGCACTTTTAAATGACATAACCATCACTTGCCTCATAAAATAATCGCGAGTTTCCTTACTCTTGAGAACTTTTATAAAACGATTCATCTTGAAAGTTGAATGTTCGTGTTTTCACAGCGAGGAAAAGAAATTGCTTAGATAAAAATTTGATGGGTTTGGACTTCAATTCGAATACGATCTATGGAGTGCACTGTAGCGTAATGCACAGTAGTGCACAGGCCGCATAGGGACCAAGGGACACGTCAGAACACGTGGGAAGGAATAGAGAAGGAGATGCGTTAACCGCACCAAATGCTGGTATTGGTTAAAAAAAAATCTAAATAATCAATGTAAAATTACATAATCATAGGCAAATGTATATAATATAGAGCATTCGAGGAAACATGAGTTGCACATAATATTTTTACGCGTTCATGTCCGCATAAAGAACGATGATCGATTGAACAAAGTCGAAAGTGATAGCGATTTCGATCACTTGATTACTTTGGCTCGTTAGTCTGGGTCATTTTAATTATTCTGGCGATATTGACATTTAGAATTCCTCAAATAAAGTTTGGACACTTAATAAGTCTTCCATACTCTGCAAGTATGCTCCAAATGATGTTAATTTGACTATCGATAAGATACTAGAGGTCATGGAAATCATGGAATCAGATTCCACCGATTCCACCATGCTAGAGGTTTGTTCTTTTGCTTAAGCAGGGATCATGGGAGCTTTCCAACAAGCGACACTGGGTGTTTCCCAACAACGTACATAGGTGACACAGTGTAATGCAGGATTCACCCTGCATCCGATGTGCGTCGTACGACGCTTTGCAACAAATCAGAAAACAGGATTCCGATGGATTCTGCTTCGTATCATCGGAATCCTGTTTTCTGATTTGTTGCAAAGCGTCGTACGACGCACATCGGATGCAGGGTGAATCCAGCAAATAGGCCGCAGCACACACTCTTGCATAATGCATAGTGTAGGAATCAACCAATAAAAATTCTTCACACAGTATGAAACTAAACTGCGTTCCAACAAGTACTTTACATAGTGGAACACAGTGTAACGTCTCTGTGTCCTAGCTGGAAAACAGCCACTGTGCGACACAGCAATCACTTGTTTAACATTGGTTAATCCGCTATTGTGGTTTTGTGTTTTACTTATTACTGATTGGTTACGCGATACGCGATACACGGCAAATATGCCTCATAGGACTCAACCACTGAACTATATATACACTGGAATGGGCATCGAGTAAAATTCATGGCCGCAATTGAGCAGCCACCATTTTCGGTGGGTCAAATATTTGAGCGAATCAGAAGCGTTCGCGCGCACGTTGCGATCAATGTGTATATATAGTCAAAGGACGGTCACTGTCTCATATATGCCATATCCGTCTACTAAAGAACGCTAAACGTACCATGTCTTTGGTAAAAAGCATAAAGTGACTAGACAGAAACTGATATTCAAGTGAAACGATATGATTGGCCGGCGCAAGTTACGCTTATGCAAGTTATGCCGCATGTGACGGCTCCCTTAAATATCAGTTTTTGCTGCCACAGCGTGCTGCGAATGAAAAGACACCTTTATTGAATTTTGTTACGTCGATGGCTTTTGTGTTTTGGCTCCGGAGCTCAAATTGAACTGGTTTAAATGTAAACGAAATATTTGAAATTATTTAAAATTAGAAAAATACATCTCCGACGAACACGAATGTATATAAGCATATAATCCGAGTATAGAATCCATATAACTCCAACTACTCAACTCTGATATTAACTTTAAAAAAATCAAATTAAAAGTTAATAGTTACCGATAAAATATAAAGTTAAAAAGTTAAAAGAGTTCAAAATGTAACTAAATGAAGTTAAAATTAATTAACTTTTTAACTTTTTAACTTAGCATTACTCAACATTGAATTTCTTTGTTGTAACCTACCAAGGCTATGTTCCAAAATTGACTACCAGTACTGAAAATCTATAGTGCACGTAACGTAAACTGTAGCATTTTTAGTGCTGGCAGTAAATTTGGAACACAGCCCTGCTATGGTCGGCTTTGTAACAGCAGTTTTGCTGATGCCTTGCCATTTGCTGTGTATATGTATGTATAATATGCATTGCAATAAAGAAATAAAACGAAATTTTATATTTTATTAAATTATTGTAATGTAATAAAATGTAAAAAACATCAATTTATAAAAATGTCAAATATGTTATTAAAAGATTTGCCAAAAAAATAAAAATATGTGAAAAAGTAGAGTAGAGCGGGGCTATTTGAGCATAGGGGCAAGTTGGTCAAATGCAAATATCTAAATAATCAAAATATATATGGATACGTCTATGCTTGTGTAATGTAGCACAAAGACAGAGATTAGTGTGCCTTAATATTGCAATAATCTGTGTCCGGCTGTCAACAGCCAAATACGTGCGCTTTTTCATTTTCGTATATCAAAAATAAAATTATTAAGTGAGTATTCTTTTTGGTCCACATGGTAATTAAAGCGATTAATAACAATCAAATATGTTTTTTGGATATAAGTTATTATCGTATTTTTTAACTTTAATGTTCAAGTTGCTATTTTATTTACGGTTTTGCAATTATAAAAAAGTATTTCATGTTTGTCATGATTGACAAAATCTATAACTCATGTAACACACAGCTCTTATAAAATGCTAAAAAAGCGCATATAATCGCTTTTTTTAGCGCTTTGCAAGCGTTGCTGCGCTACTTGGGTATCCTTAGCGGGATTATTGAGCTTAAGTGCTTGCAGATATTCTTGTATACACGAGCAAAGGAACAGCTTCTTTTATTAAGGGTAACGTAAATATATTGAAGTTAATTATTGCTTTGTGGTAGTTTATACTATATATAGTTACGAGCGTGCGCAAGATATCGCTATTATCGCTGCCATTGCCATCGGCCCCATCGCTACTATTGCTGCCGCCGCCGCCGTTACTGCCGCCGTCGCCGCCACTACCGCCGCCGCTCGATGCGTCGTCGTCGCACCACTGAGTATCTCATTTGATATGTTAGGGTCGTGTTTGCCGTTGGAGACTGTGGCAACTGTCGAATCGCATTATTACGTGCTGTGCACATCTCATCATCCGTCGTTCTCGTGACTAGTAGGCGTGTCGTGGTCGGAAATCGTGATAGCTGCGTGAGAGTGCGAATATCGCACAAATATCTCATCTCAAAAGAGAGACAGGCAGAAAGAGAAAGAGAGAGGCTCCGCGACGGGGTGAGTTTCTTTGGTAAGAGAGAGGCCTGTTCCAAGCGGGATCATGAAAGTAAGTCGAGATCATTTTTGCGATAAATGCGTTGACTCTTAGAGAATATAAAATATGTGAATAAAATCGTAATTTCGTTAATTTTTATCTGAATAAGTTCGACCTCTTGGGTTTATTTTTGAATTCTGATACGCTACATTTGCGATTAAAAATGTGCAAGAAGATTCGGAATTTCTCCGTTATTCATTATTTAGTTATGCAATCTTTTGTAACTTTGTTTCTATTTTTCAGTCTTGATTTATGGTCCTGACATATCCAATATTTATTAAATTCAACATTAGATATTTCAGACGCGATAAAATATCGAAAATAATTTTTTAAGATTATGTAAAATTATTTTTTTGCTATCTCTAGTCTTATCTTTTCAATTGTTGCGGAATATCATAAAGAAAATATCACAATTTCGATCATATGGTCTACTGACTCGAGTTACAGCGTTAGGTGAGAGAGATTTTTATGAAGGAAGTTTGAAATTAATTCCTGAAGTAAAACGAAAATATGCAAATGCTGTGCAAAAGTTTGTTTCTTTTTGAATTAGAAAACAATTTTTTAATAAGTGTAATATTCAAAAGAACGATATTTTATACGAGATATGAATATTTCTTATAAACACTTACGATATAAGCTCAACAAACTGGATAGTTGATTAAAATACGATGTCAATACGAGTCATTACAGATCTCGCGACAAATTTGATGCATCAGACAATTCATAGAGTCAATTTGCTATATTTCTGTTTTTTAATCGATTATGAATCTTTTTATTCAGCATTTCGTATTTTATTTAAAGTTCTGCATTTCTCTTTTATACTTTTTCCTTAACTTTAAGTTTAATTCTTTATCTACATTTTATAATGATTAATTGTTTACAGCTAAGAACATTACTACATGTTTTTTTTTCTTTACTTTGTTTATTATGTAATTTCTTTTATTTTTTTTCTTTTAATATACATTTAGACAATATCAAATATTTTTCTATTTTTATTTAGTTTTAATCATTGAGATACATTTATACATATTTTGCAGAATGTAGGACAGAATTTTTCATAATAAACATTTTAAAGATTGTATTTACAAGGACATTTACAAACTTCATAATAATTAATAAATTTCTTGCATATAATGTATAAATTAAAGAAAATAAAAATTAATTTGATAATACAAAGAAAATAATAGTTAAAGGAAATAGATTTTTCGGCATAACTCAAATACCTTTATTAGATAGTTAAGAAATAATTAGATACTCATTAATATTATTATTTGTTGGTAAGCAAAATCTTACTTGGAATTATTATGTGACATTAAAACAGTATTATTCCATCTAACAAAGCACATTAAAACGAATAATAATTGCAACGAACAGTAACTATAAGATTACAGACAACCAACAAATAATGTTATTTTAATATTATTTCATATATAATTTTAATTTTAACGACTTACTTTTATTCGACGCAAGACATGTGAATGTCACGAAATAACTAAATAAGCCAAAAGTATTCATGGATATTTATTGGACATGAATATTCGTGTTATTCAACTAAATATTTTGTTGGATACTTGTATCGTGTAGATTTAATTTATTAAAGAAAACCAGTGTTTAACGTTGAAGTTACCGCTATTGACCATCTCGCTATCCTTTTCCGAGCGTATGGGCGCGGTTCTGATCCTATAATATTCTGTTCTACTTTCTAGTGTCTCCGTGCTATTCTACATGCACTTCGTGTTGATATTGTTCCCGTTTATTAAGACAATAAAAATATCAGCGAGAATCATCTTAAATAAATATTAGTAAATCTATCATTTGTCAATTTGAAATTAACGAAATGTGAGACTTGCGAACTGACACTTTCTAAATAAGATATTTGAGAATTATTTGAATTTTTTAAAGAATCATACAGATTAATAAATAATTAGATGAATGCTTTATAATCAAGTCAAAATATCAAATGCATGTGTAAAAAAACCGAATAAAATATTACAGAACATTTTATATTCTGATTGAAGCAAAGAAGACTTCACAAGTAATCAATAGTAATAATCAGCTAATAATAATAATAAGAATTAACTAGCTTTAATTCGAATGTATTATAAAAACTAAAAATGAAGGACATATATTTATTGAGTACATTATCAGTATTTTAGAAGCCTATACCGGTCGAAGCTGGGTCTTTAATGCTTAGATAATTGATAATTCAATGTAAATATCTATACATTATATGTAGTGCATGCATATATATACCATATTTGTAGTCATTCGAACTACGCACCGAATTGGTTTTCCGGACTTATAAACGCAATTAAACTACTGTAATAATATTACGAATTAAATTAAATTGACAAGCAATTCTTAATAATTTGATATGCTCAATCAGGTATCATTACTTCGACCGGGAGTCGAACCCGGATCTCTCGTATTACGTCACTTGAAAAAGACGTTTCCATACATATAGCTATTATTGCGAAGAATATTATTAAGGCCTCGGTAGTCTAAGTCTAAAGGCTTAGGACGATTGTACGGAATACAAGAGATCCGGGTTCAACTTCCGGCCGAGGTAATATTTTTCGGTAATAAATTTATTTACAGTTTTTCAGTATATTAACATCTTTCTAACATGATGCCTACTACTAATACTAGCAAAATACTAGCTAATAACTAAAAAGTAACTCATTGCGCCTGACCGACTGGCCAACATATCGGGAACTGGTTTTTTAATTATTCAGGGTAATGTTTGCGCTATGATGCTTTGTGGTGAATGTCCTTATTTTTGGGATAATTAATTATATTCTTAAAGTTATTTGATAAATTAGTTTCCATATTCTCTAATTCGATATTTTCAATATTTCCCTTCTTTTTATTTTCCTTTTCTTTCTTCCTTTTTTTTTGTTTAATTCTGGCATTTAAATTCTCGATGTAGGGGAGCTCACCATGATAGGACAACTTTTAGTTTATATATATTAATTTGTGTTTGCTCTGAGGAAGACTCAAAAGTGAGCCGAACCATGTAAGCGCGTTTAATGAATAAAGAAGTTTCACGCGCTTCATAGGTGTATTATTTGCGCAACGTCTTCTGCGCCTGACTCCTAGTGCCCTTACTCTTTCCAATTCTTTAAAAGATATGTATATACAATGTTTGGAGGGGTTTGTGGTTTTTGGGAGAAAAATTCTATTTAAGAAGCTAATAAAAGTTTTACTGAAATGTTGATATAAAGTCTTTTAGTCTTTTACATTATTATTTATATTAGACATGATATCCAAGTAAAATGTTGGCAAGATGAAAAAAATGCATAGACACGTTCATAATGATTGGGAAAAGTGCGTTGAAACATAAATTCGGCTAATACATCCGGGCATATGATCTTTTCTCCGATCATATTGTAGTATTTAGAAACATATATCAGGCCAATTACGCTCGATATTTTGTGCATAAGTGTATACGCTTTTTGCGCAAAGCGAGGTCCATCCTACTTCCCTCCTGCTAAGGGGCGTCCAACTTTCGCAAATTGAGGTCTACCCCATCTCCTCCCCTCTGCCTAGGGACAGCCTTTTCGATCAAGATCTATATCATACCTCTTTACCTAGGAAGTTAGATATCTCCAGGTAAGGGGTGAGGAAGTGAGATGGACCCATGATGGATTAACATGGTGTGCTCAGTTTGCAAGCGTCTCTCTTTAATTCTCTGCCCTCTCGTTTGTTCGGCGACCCAGTTCAGATCCCAGTTTAGCCAACCTTAGTTATTGTATTCGTCACACGCACATTCAGATTCGGCCTTTTATCATGTACTATCTAATACTACCAATGTTTGTTCGTGTCGCATGTTCCTACCATAGTTCCTACTCAATTTAAAGCTTGTTTGCACAAGTGAGTACTGAGTAGGAGCTATAATAGGAATTGAAATGTATTTTAGAAATATATACTCACACACAAAATATTTATACTTATTTTTAAAACTTTTCATAAATATAAATTCTGAAATATTGTGTAAGATTCATATAAAAAAATTTGAAATATTTTCTAAACAGTTATACAATGATACAGAAATTCTAAAACTTCAAAATTTTTTATATGTGAATTCTAAAATACTGTAAGATTCATATAAAAGAATCAGATTTTCTAAAAAGTTATAAAATTATACTGAAATTGTAAAAATTCTGAAATTTACATAAAAATTTAAAAAATTATATGAAAAATTTGGGAAAAATTTCCATCAGGTTTATGAAATTATTCTCACAACTTTATTTCGGCAACTTTTAACATATCATCTTTAATGCTTTAACTGTACTACTCTAAATTTAGATCCTTTGAATGGAGATTTTCGATTAATTTCAATTTCAATTTAACCAAAGATTTTATTTAAATTTACAGGGAGAGGACAGTGAGGACAGACTTTTTTATCTACAGATGACACAATAGTTAAGATAAATAATCTAGCGATAGTAAATAAACTATATCATATAAACACTACAAACATTAATAAATATGAACTTACAATATATATACCTGGGAAACAAAATTTTATATATCTCGTATGTTACGTCCTGCGGATTACGCAATTCTTTTCTTTCGTGGAAGATTGATCGTCGTCACTCGTATATCAATTACTAAACATAACTATAGTTATCAATAGTCGCTAGACTGTTTAAGAAGAAAGTCAAAGGGTAATCTAACCCCTTGTCTTTCTACTACTTATCAAAATATCAACCACGGAAACGATAAAATTTCAAACATAGAGACCAGCAAAAATATTTATTTTTTTACAGTTGGCAGGCCTGGGTTTTGAACGGTATTCCGACTCGCAAAAGAGGCATGATTTATTCAAACTGAGCACACCATGTTAATTCCTTCCACCATGGGTGGACCTCGCTTCGTATGGAAAGTCGTAAGGTAAATGTCCCAATTAGTGACAAAGTTATACCATGGGTGGACCTCGCTTCGTATGGAAAGTCGTAAGGTAAATGTCCCAATTAGTGACAAAGTCACTTGTGGTCTTGTGGTAAAAAAGAATTAAGGTACCCATCGATCGAGGTAAGGGATCCGTCGATCCCAGTGCTTTTGATTTTCAGAAATATACTTCGCTAAGTAATTTGAAATCGTTCGATGTTGACGTTTCACCTGTTTGTCTAACTAAGAATGCAAAGAGGTAGTCCTGTTTTTTTTAATTTCCAATAGATTTGTCAATTCCTAAAAAATTTTTCAAATTCGTCTTAAAGTTCTTTTCTTGATTCATATGGATTTCCAAAGGAACCCTATGTCTGGAGATCAACTGGTTTAAGAAAATCTCCGAAATAGTTTTGGCTCTAATGTTTTTCAACGGAAAAAGGCTTCCACCCATTTAGTAAAACAGTCGGTCACCACAAGCAAATATTTGTTCCTCGACAATATTATCGGAAGGGAACCAAGAATGTCCATTAAGTCCATTTGCACTCTCTCTCTAGCGGTACCGACATTGTAAACTTGTAATGGAGATTTTTTCCCTTTCTTGAAGGGCCTTTACCTGCGATACAAACTTTACATGTTCTGCACCAATCTTCTACATCTTGCTCGCAAGTTGCTCAATAAAATCGCTTACGGGCTTTCTCCAGGATTTTATAGACTCCAAAATGTCCCCCAAAAGCAGAATCATGAATTTCTTCTAATATTTGTCTAATTCGACCTCTAAGAACAGTTAATTGCAAAACGCTTTTCTTTAAATTCGGTTTCCACCTTTTATAAAAGACACCGTCCCTAACCTCAAGGGAATTCTAGTATGTCCAGTAGACTTTCGCGGAAACGTCCCTTGGTGCAATTTCCCGCCAGCGTGGACGCTCCCCAACCTCTTTGCTTCGAAGAATAACAGAAATACTAGGATTCTTCAGTTGCTCCTTTCGCCAATTCTCAAAACTTTCTTCAAATAACGATTCGAGCAATAGAACTTTCTCGCTTTAAAGCTTCTTTTATTTTCACCCGATAACAATATCGACGATCGGTGTTTTCGTAAGAGTGCCTGGAAAGTCTATCCACATTTCTATAAGAAAACTCCTTCCGATGTAGCATCTCAAAATTATACTGCTGCAGCCTTTCCATTCATTACGCTAACTGTCCTTAGGCCGGAATCAGACTGCATTGAAGATTGAGATTAAAAATTAAAGATTGAAATTTCACCAATGAGGACAAAGAAATTTTGGTTTCTTTTGTTCTGATTGGTCAAACTTCAATCTTTCAATCTTCAATCTCATTTTTCAATGCGTAGTCTGATTTCAGCCTTATAGATCTTTGAAAGACGTTAGCCACTTGAGTGAGACGTTCGTTCGGACTTAAAATTTCTTTTTCCATACAAATAATGATGAAAAAACTTTACCGATTCGACAATCGACAATAGTTTACGACGCGTCACGCAATAATTCCTTTCAGCTTTGTTCAAAACTCGGCTGAAATAAGCGATAATCTTTTCATCGTCCCTTGTTTCTATGCCAAGAGTGCCCTAATTCCAAAATCGGACGCATCAGTATCAAAAACGTACTCTCCCTCCTCATTTGGAAAGGGGAGGAAGTTCTTCTTTTAATTTATTAAGATTAAGACTTTCTTCCCAAATAAATTTCATTTTATTTTCTGTAAGCGTATAGAGCGGTTTTGCTATTGAAGGAAATCTTTTTACGAATTTGTGATAATAAGAGCAAAATCCCCCAAAAATTTGTAAATGTTTTTTATTTCGAGGAATAGGCCAGTCTTTCACAACCGAAATTTTTTCAGGATCTGCGATAATGCCCGCCCTCGAGACTAAGTGCCTTAAATACTTTATTTCTCTCCTAAAGAGAATACATTTTTTAAGATTCATTTTCAGATTTACTTTTCGCATTCTAAGAAACTCTGTTTTTAAATTCATAACCATTTCTTCAAAACTTTTACTAAAAATAATGTTATCAAGTATACATACAACTAACATAAATCAAGGCTAATGAGAGTCAAATGCAGATGATCAGGCATAAAATTAGTATGGAAGAATGTAAAACGTTAAAAAATAGAGTGACTCATCTTAGTAGATAGTGTATCAAGAAGCTTTGATACATAATTAATCATAAAATTATATTTGTAAGAACGAGAAAGCAAATATAAAGATCGGCAGTGTCTGTATTACGTCCGTACATTAAGACATATCGCACAGGATTAAAACAATATTAAAATAAGCAAAAGATCATGTAGTAAATATTCTAGCTAAGCATTGAAAATATAATATATAAGAACGTGAAAACAACATAAAATTCACATTATGACCATTATATACATAAACCGGATTCAAAATTATTTAGTGATTCGGAACTATTGCTTGATCCGTCTAGTGCTTTTAACCTACACATATGTATACAATTTTAGCAATTAAAATGGAATTATATATTGCAGATGATCTTTTGGAATAGTTTTCCCCGTTCTTCCTGTCTTTGGGATAGACATTGACGATATGGTAAAGACATTTGACAAAGTGCTAAGTTATTTGTTTTAATGTTTTTAAGAACTACAATAGTGTATGGATGTGTCGATAATAATCGAGAAGTATATATGAATGATTATTTTCAGGATGCAATATGGCCTCAGTACTTTGGCATGTCTCTGGAAATAGTTTTCTTTCACCAATCTTCGTGTTACTCTTGCTACTGTGTCCACACAACTCCACAGGTTAGTAGAAAACACATTGAACAACTTTTAAAACATTTCACAAATTTAGCCGAGGAAAATTAAATTTTTTTTGTGTTTTGGAAGCAAAATTGCCATAAAAGATTTGTCTGCGGGAAATTGTTTGAAATGACGTATTACACAACACTAAGTATAAGCATATTCTGGCCTATGACGGTCAAAGCTAGATCTTTTTGCCTAAATAATTCCGGAGTGATCCCGATTGACCACGGCTCGATTAGACACCACCAATCAGCGACCGGTGCTTAGGAGCTTTGTAATCTCAAGCGCTGTGAGTGGCTCGTGTCCAATTGAGCCGTGTCCAACTGGGTGCCACTCAATAATTCCCAGTGAATTATCTATACCCTATATATGTACATGCATATATATATATATCATATTTTTGTAGTTATTCAAACTGCGTGCCGAAATTTTTCCGGACTTATAATAAAACGCAGCTAAACTACCAAAATAATATTACAATTAAATTTTTGATGCTCTATAGGTATATATTAGAGAGATCTTAATAAAATATATTTTGTGTTATGACGTTTATTTTCAGAGATAATAATAGATTGTAAGATTTTATATACTCCATCTTATGTATATAAATAAGTTATATTTATATTAGTTTTATTATCATAATCATTTTTCATTATCATTTACACGGTTATAACACGGTGTGGTGTGTTCCCGGTGGCGGTGGATGTTGTCGCGGGATCCATGAATCATCGCACCCTTCCTCAATTCAGCCCGCGAGATATTTGATGCACCACTACCACAAGACTACTTTCCAACACTGCCACCACCACCGGGAGGACTCACTACAGCCAAAATACTAAGTACGTCTTGTCGTTTTGTGTCCTTTTCTATTACTTTCTCTTCGATAACTGATCTAATTGCAAAAGATTATACCGATTTGATTCACAAGCGGATCGATCAAGTAATTTTATAAATTGTAATAACTTTTTCTGTTTTCCAGAGTGTGACCAAAAATTTGTAAGCACTCCTGATGGACCGCTGAACGGAAGCTTTTATGCACCGACGTTGATCAACCCCGAAGGAGAGCCACGTCAATGCGTTTACACATTTCTTGCAGGGCCGCGTCAACGTGTCGAATTGACTTTCACGTCCTTTGGCCTTCGAGGAAAACCACCAGAGTGAGTCTTTGTTCTCATTTCTAGAGAATCTCTAATCAGAATCACGTAATATAACGTCTCCAATTTTGATTAGTATCGTCTTTTTCAGTAAACTATATGAAAGAAGTGTAATACAAATGTTAGGCTCAAAGACCGAAAATGCTCACAGAGCAAAAAAGTTGATCACAACGCATTATGGCTTTTGAGATTCAGCCATAATGCGAAATTTGTGTCGTGGCCATTTAAAAAATGCTCACAACGTGTTCTGGCATGTTTAAAAAGATGATAAAGCAAAATTCAGCAATTATATAATTTAAAGTAAAATTGTTTCCGCCATTAATTATTAAAATTCTTTTATCAATACAAAAGAAACATCAATACGATAGAGAACGCTATTAGTAAAAAAGTTAGATATTTCGAATAATATAATATATATCCGATATAAAATTTTTCATGCATGAATATGTATAAATATGTATAAACATACATAAACACGCATAAATATTCATAAACATGCATAATTATATATGAAATATGTCCATACATGTTCATACATCCTTTTTTCTTTTATAAAATTACTTTTTAGTATAATAGAAATAATAATAGTAATATAAAAACATTAAAAATAATTAAAAAGATAATTTTCGCACTATCTGTTTTAGAAAAACATCAAGTTTGAAGAAATATAAAAAAATTACTTACGTATAATTATATATAAAATTATGCATAATTATGTATGAGCAATTTTTTTTACATTTTTCCAAACTTGTTTTTTTCTAAAACAAATAGTGCGAAAATTATCTTTTTAATTATTTTTAATGTTTTCATATTACTATTACTATTTCTATTACATTAAAAAGTAATTTTACAAAAGAAAAAAAGAGTGTAAAACAAACAATGCGAAAATGATCCCTTTAATTATTTTTTATGTTTTCACGTTACTATTATTATTTCTATTACATTAAAAAGTAATTTTACAAAAGAAAGAAGGAACATATATGAACATGTATGGACATATTTCATATATAATTATACATGTTTATGAATATTTATGCGTGTTTATGTATATTTATACATATTTATACATATTCATGCATTTATACATATTCATGCATGAAAAATTTTTTACCAGGTATTCTTTATTAAATCAATTTATTTCAGATATGATTGTGCGCCGAAACTTTCGGACTTTTAACACAATCAGTCCGAAACGCTAATAATCTCCTCAAAATTAAATTAGAAAAACTGTAAAGAACTTATTGTGAAAAATATTACCTCAGCCAGGATTCGAATCTGGGACCTCTCCACTTACTGGGACGACGAGTATCTTACCCAATTCGATCACTGAGGCTTCGGAAATATTCTTCGTAATAACTGATACCTATGTATAGAGAGAACGCATTATAAGGCTTGCGTGTTTTAAGACTAAACTTTATTTAATTATTTATTTAATTATTTTTCTTAGTGGCCACTGTACAATGGTAAATTTTTTTCTCCTTCAATCTTATGCAAAAATAAAGGTCTGTGCAAAAAAATTCAGCTTGTAGGTATTTTTTCCGAGACCATCCTATAATGACTGCACTATCATTTTAATCTTTATGTTAAAAAACCTTAATTTTTACCGATTTTTTTTATTAGTCAAGGAACTGAAACTAAAACCGGATTAAACTTATTCCATATTTTATTAAATCATAACTGGAATCGAACTGAAACAATCTTTCGACCTGTCCTAATTTTGAATTGCAAATTTTGGGATGCCCTGTATAACATTATTTGATTATATATGTAATATTATTTGATTATTTTTTAATATAGATATGTTTAACCGTAGTATTCTCATATATCGATTATAAAAATTGATAATTGCATGAAAGAATATTATTTATTTTCCTTTATGGAAAATTTAATGATCAGCATTTGATAGAGATGAAAGAGAAATTTAACAATTTTATATTATACGAATTATATTTGACAATTTTTGTAAGTAAATGATAGAAATTTACATAAGAATACTTGTTTATGTATACATATATGTATTATTTACATGCATACTTTTCCTGATACATAGTGGATCTGCTGTGGGAGAATTACCAGCGTAAGTATTGATAAATTTGTAAGAAGTTATGCTATTTGTTAATTAATAGTTCGTTATATAACTTTTTTAAAAAAATTAATGTTAGACGTTATAATTATAATTTCCCGCGGGGAGGAGGCATAGGGCCATGTTCATACGTATATGAGAAATAAGAACTATTAGAAATGGCATGGACACGAAAGACCCAGTGTGTGGTTCGAGTTTTAATAAATTTAAACTTATTTGTAATTGTATTTAATCTCATATTTAACGCAAATCTAATAATCTATTCATTTCCATTTACTAAATATAAGCAAATTTAAATTTAAACGTATAGAGAATGAACCTGAAAGTTACGTGATATATTCTATTTTTCAGCTGTATTCATGAATATCTGGACATTTACTCGGAGATACGATCGGAGAACACGACTAAGTTAATAGAGACACCGTTTGGTGGACGATTCTGCGGACCAATTCCACCACGTAGACGGGTCTCTCTTTATCAAGGAATTGCTCTCAGTTTCTACACCGACAAGAATGTCACGTTCCCGAATATTTTCAGCGGTATTTACAGATTTATCAACGCCTGTAAGTTTTGTTTCATATTGTTTTTAAGACATTTGACTGATGATATACTAAAACATTTGCAGTCGAATTTCCGTATTCATAACGTATCAAGGTTTAAGGCCGTAGCACACACTTTTGCATAACGCATAACGTATAGTGCATAAGCGAATCAACCAATTAGAATCTTTCCTTTCCTCCCATTTCATGGAAAAGAAGAATATCGATTGGTTGATTCTTTTATGTATTATGCATAACGCATAGTGCATAAGAGAATCAACTAATCAGAATCTTTCCTTTCCTCCCATTCCATAGAAAAGAAGAATTTCGATTGCTTGATTCCCTTATGCACTATGCATTATGCGTTAGTCCGGATCTACAATAGGTGTTTTATGTCTTATGCCGTAAGAAACTGACCAATTACAGTCGAATTCGAGAAGAATAAGTGACTGTGATTCGCCCATTTCTTATGGCTTAAGGCTTAAAACCCTATTGTAGATCCGGGGTTATGCAAGAGTCTGTGCGTCCATTAGAGTCCTATGTTAAACAAGGACAAATGATGCTCGTGAGCATTGCGAGCGTTAAGTGGAACGCAGCTCTAGATTATCAGAGAAGCACGACTGATGTTAAGTGTTCTGATTGCAATCATGTGATTAGCAGCCAATCATCAAACTGATTTCTTGATATTACAAATAGATGCTTAATGGATGATTGGTGGATTTCATAGTCCGTCTGCAAATAACGCCATTTTTAATAATTTTCCTTATACTTTTGCGATACTAGGTACGGTCCACTTGATACTACAAATGTTTCGAAATTTTTGATTGACCAATCGGAAGAAAAAATTTTATCCACTGACCAATCAGAAAATTCGAAGTTACGGTCTATCAAGGGGAGGATCCCGTTTGCCTACAATCTCGATTGCACACACCATTCATATCAGCTGGTGCCTAGTAATTTTTCACTGCTTTACCAATGAGAATATTTTATTTTTAAATTAGCCAATTAGCGACGCATGTGTGCAACATGCAATGTGTGCAATCGGAGCCTTCCCTTATCAAGTGGACCATAGCTACTGACATAAGTCGATCGCGCTTCTCTTAATATATCTAGGACTCCAATCAAGATTAACTCTTTTGATACTAACGACAACAGTAGTATGTGGGCGGCCATGGGGCATCGAATAAACACTCTTCACACAAATTTTGGCGCCAGAGGCGTGGCTTAAACGGAAATGGCGCGCTTTGATTGGTTGGTGGGGAAGGGTGGGGTAACGATGTAATTGAACGGCGCGTTTCTAATTGGCTCCATGTCTACTTATGCCTTTATTGGTTCTCTCCATAATAACTCACACTATGATTGGCGAGAAAGAGACTGTCCTCGGAGAGAGAGATTGACAATGTGTAAGTCCAACAAATTGGTAGATAAGAAAATCGAGGTAAATTGGGACCGAGACATTTTTCGCGGAAAGGGAAAAGGTATGAACAATGGACATGAATAGTAAATAGATTTTATGGCCTGTTTGTCGATTTTTTTCGCTTTGCAAAAATCACTCGATTTTTATCTCTTTGATGGTAACTAATGTAAAGTGTGAAGATGATAATATCTGAAGAGGGCTCAATATAAGAGCCGAAACTTGTAATATCTCTGTTTCTATTATGTATGTATTTAACTCCTATTAATAATTTTTATACGTTTACATTTTAAAGAATCGACTCTTATTTGCCTGTTTTATCGTTATATTGTTGCTAATGACTGTGTTACTCAAGATAGCTGGTTTTCAAATCACTATAATAAAGTTATTTTTCATTAAGTACTTTTCAAGTTATAAAGCTTGGAAGTTACAGTATCGTCGACGTTAGCATTACTCAACGTGTTTAATCGACGGCTAAAACCTGTTGAATGTTGTTCAGGACCATGCCCCCTGGATAACATTTATTGAGATAAAAGCTATTGCAGATTGTACCTATTATTTTCATTAATGAGATAATTGATTGATTTAGTGTACTATTCGTTCCATCAAATAAGATCCACTAAATCGGCAGACTTTGTCGCGTACACTGTTTTTAAGGTATCCCTATAAAGAGTAATCTAAAGGGAACAGATCTGGTGATCTAGACGTGGTCAAATAGAATGACCTCTTAGGTTATTAGATGTCCCCTTTACTCACCGGTGTTGAAATTTTCAAACGTTGCTTATTTAAATCTTGAGGTTGAAATTTTTAAAAAAGATTCCGGATGCACCGCACCTGTCATCGCTGCACTTGATGCAGTAGCATTTCTCGGTGGATACTCAGCCGGATACAATATAATATTCGATAATGCATTGTTACTTAATAAATTGAATTTTCAATAGGTACGATATATATTGGGGGGGGGGGGGGGGAGGAGTTATACTCTATTGGATCTATTACAATAGAGTTATATTCTATTGGATCTATTAAGCCAATATATTTTTTATATATTATTTGTCATAAAGATATATTGAATAAATAATTCGCTCTATGTAAAAGTTTTAATTAACTCTTGATTTTTAAAATCTTTATAATACAAATTTTAAAGGGCTAATTCGGAGTCAGCGCGGTAGGAAGTGCGCAATTTATATTCAAAAAATAATAATAAATTGCGCACTTCCTACCGCGCTAATTCCAAATTAGCCCTCTAAAATTTGTATTATATTTTTATAATTAAAGGAGTCCTAGTTCATACTTATTTATTAATTATATTTTGTTTTTAAATCTTTATTTTCTATTTATTTTTTACTTTGCAATTTTGCAATGAGCAGCCTAATAAGGTATTAAGGATAAAGATGTAAAGAATACGGAGATTTGATTGTATTTTAAAAATATTCCCTGGTGGAAAAATTTCGCTGAAATTTTGTTGGAATTTCACTAACATTTCGTCGAAATTATCCTTTGTTTTGGACTACTTTTCAATAAAATTTCAGGAAAATTTTAGTAAATTTCGTTGAAATTTCAGAAGAATAAAATTAATCAATTCAATTTTTTTTCTAAAATATATAATTACTCTGATTAATATTATATTCTGAAGGATATACGATAAAAATAAAAAAAATACGATGGCTCAATTCGAATAAATCAAAACATACAAAGTTGGACAACGAGCCAGATATACATACAAAAGACTAATAATATCAGATTACAAACAAACGTTTCAACTCCGATCGAGTCATTTTCAATGTGTTAGAAAACAAATTAAAAATTAACAAATAATAACGTCAGAATATATTATTTAAAATTACAAGATAATAACGTCTGAATATATAATATTAAATAATAACGGTATTTAGAATTATAAGTTTTGTATAACAGGCATTAATTGATATTAATGCCTGTTATACAAAACAGGCAGATTTGATATTAACTGTAGTGGTAACTGCTTATAGATATTATTTTTACAAATATGAAATTGTCACATCCGGGCTGATTTGTTTATGCAAGTTTTGACATCACTTATGGAGGGTAAGTCACCAGTATTTATGACTATTATTATTATATATTCAGACGTTATTATTTAATGTTATATATTCAGACGTTATTATCTTGTAATTTTAAATGATATATTCTGATGTTATTACTTATTATAATTTTTAATTTTTCTAACATTGAAAATAACTCGATCGGAGTTGAAACGTTTGTTTGTCTGATATTATTAAATAATCTTTTGTAATCTGATTAAATAGTCTTTTGTATGTATATCTGGCTCGTTGCCCAACTTTGTATGTTTTGATATATACGCGATAAAATTATGATAAAATTTTAATAAAAAAAAACATTTCTCCTGAATTCTGCAACAAATTTTAGCGAAATTTTCGAATAAACTTATAGAGGAATTTTAATTTAATTTCGATGATTTTTTAGTATTTTTGCTGAAAAATTTATTTTCAGTGAAATTTTAACAAATTTTCAGCATTTTTGTTGAAATATTAATTTCTGCAAAAATTCTGCAAAATTTCAACAAAATTTCTATAATTTCAACAAAATTTTTTCACCAGGATTGTTCATTAATATTTAACATAACTTATTTGTAGCCGAGTATGAAGTTGGCACGCCAGAGCCAAGCACACCATGTACTTTTACAATACATGCGGAAATCAAACGTAATGGAAACATACTGTCTCCCACTTATCCCGGCACCTATCCGAAAGATCTTATTTGTAGTTATCAATTTGTCGGGCACCGTGGACAACGTGTGCGATTGGAATTTCGTGACTTTGATTTGTTCTTTGGGGGACCACAGTACGTACATGCAAGGCCAATAATTTTTAAATATTACAAATTTTTATAGAAAATTTTTAGTAAATAACAGCCAAATTAAAAGAAATTAATTTTATGTATTTATTGTATAAATATATATTTTTATAAAAATATAAAATTATTAAAGAAAATTTACTTTTGTAGAATAAAAACCTTGTTGCTTTCGTTCTATTAATTAATACATTCTTTAAATATTATAGAAGAATATTCTACATTTTTAAATATATATATTTATATTACATCAATTTATGTATTTATATTAGGGAATATGTATGTAGCAAATGATATAGTTTAATCAAGTTAATGAGGAAATTTGAAATTATTCCATAGTTGCCCGCTAGATTATGTGAAAGTGTATGATGGTCCCGATAATTCGACCGCTGTTATCGGCACTTACTGCGGCCAGCAACGAAATTTAGTGTTATACTCCTCAGAGAACAGTTTGTTTGTGCTATTTTCAACATTGAGACGCACGGCAAATACGCAAAATCGAGGATTTAAAGGCATTTTTGAGTTCTCAGAGAGTTTTGTCAGCCTAGGTAAGATCATTATGACGCCTGTTTGTTGTTTATAAAACTTTACAATTGTATTAATTGATACTATTATCTTTTCCATTGCACAGATTTCATAACAGAATATCAAGGCGAGCATATTCGTGGGTCTGAATGCGACCAAAAAATCCTTAGTAAGAAGGAAACATCGGGATTCGTAGTTAGTCCTAATTTTCCATATCCTTATTTACCTAAGGTTGTTTGCCGTTACTTCATCTATGGCATGCAGGACTCGCAACATCTAGAGCGCGTGCGGCTGGAATTTCAAGTATTTACAATACAGATGCCCAAGGGAGAGTAAGTATTAAATAAATATATTTACTCTAAATGTCAGTAGTGCATAAAGGTAAAAGTTAAGTTTAGCTCTCCTCACGTCCAATCTTGATAAAACCAGGTTTATTCGTCTTTACATGAAACGATTGAATCTGGCAGTAAAAAGTGTCGCTTTGTCCTGCGAAGCGAGATATTAATGATCATTGTTAAGGTTTCGATGCGAAGCGACTTCCATCTCGTCTCCCCCGTGTCAAGGATCGCACAATTTCTATAATTATACGGTTGCACATGGGTTTCGACTCTCCATGCCAATCGCTTTCCACCCCATCTCTCCTCCTGTCAAGAGGCACATGACTTTTTATACAAGTAGATCTCACTTTGCGTGGAAATCTTTACCAATTTACGAGTAACTTAAACATTATGGACATATGAGCTAATTATTCTTGTATTATCATTGCTGAGGAGGACTCCAAAGAGAGTCGAAACGTTCAAATATAACATGTTAGAAGACTAGTCTATATTGAGTCGCGCGTGTCGGCGGCGGTCGAGCCGCCGAGGGACACCATTTCTGCCGGTGCGTGTACACCAGTACAATTATAGAAGTTATGTGTCCCTTGGCAGGGGAGATATGGGGTGGAAGTCGCTTCGCGTGGAAAATTGAAATTCGTCTACAACAATACAATTATAGTCATTATAGACCTCGTTTCGCTTCTGTGACAGATTTTCTATTGACTTGAATAATTGTCGATTTTAACGATTAATATCTCGCTTCGCGGGACAGAGCGACACTTTTCACTGCCATATTCGTTCGTTTTATATAAAAACGCGTCGAATAAACCTGGTTTTATCAAGATTGGATATGAAAAGGAGAGCTAAACTTAACATTTACCTGCGTAAATGTCAATTTATACCATACTCTTTTTCGGGCTTTCTCAGGACGTCGTGTACCGATGGCTATCTAAAATTATATTTAAAAGGTCAAGAAGCAACGGATTCTTATGACAAATTCGATTATGAGATGTGTGGTAATAATAGTAATCCAAGTCATATAGTCAGCGACGGGCCGAGACTTGTGATGGTATTCAGTAGCGGAGAATTACAGGCACAGGGCTTTAAAGCTAAGTGAGTGTATATTTAATATTATTCAAGATAAATCAATCAAAAGATTCAGTTTCATTGATTACTTTTTAAAAATTTTATCGTACTATTTTTCAATAAGCACATAGATAGCACAATTGATCCATTTGAAAAGAATTCATTTTCTTGACTTCTTTATGAATTAGCGTAATTTGTTCAAATTTAAAAAGAATTCCTTTCCGACAATTAACAAAGGATTCCATAAAAGTATTTCTTACAGAGTTAAATTAAAGTTAATTTAAAGAAATCCTTTTTCTGTTCGTAATGAGTCCGAAAAAAATTCATATTCGGCTTGGTCACAATATACTCGAAGGTGAAAATCAAACAATATATCGGGTTTGGTTAGGGTTAGGTTATTATATTCCCATGGGTATATACCCTGTTAGGGTATAATTTTAATCTAATCTAATTCTGATTGGTAGGTACATTTTTGAAACGGAGTACAAGATACCGGGTACTGCAGCGCCCGATGGCAGTTGCACTTTTACTTATCGCAGTTCGTCTCGTAAACGTGGCGAATTTAATTCACCACGATATCCTAGCAATTATCCGAGCGACACGAATTGCACGTATTTCTTTCTAGCGACGCCAGATGAGCAGGTTGCTTTAATCTTCGATCACTTTAAAGTTCGCACAAGAAACGATAATGTGACAGTTGGATATTATGGGTAAGTGAATCATAATTCTCTTGCAGCATTAATAGGATGTTTTGTAGTTATTGATACAGTATTTACGCAAGTAGAGTGGACTAATCTGATAGCTTTCAGAGACTCTACGAGCACACTATGATCAATCTGAGAGTAAGTGACGGATTTCATTTACATATGCCTATTTATAGGGATCCGCGTCATTTTCTCCTTACGGAAAACGAGTCCATCTTGCGGCGATACTGCGTATTATGCCGCTTGCAGAGTATATGTACGCTATAGACGCCGCCAAGCAAGCGGTGTAATACATTTCGCACATTCGCTTTCGCTTTCGCAAAAAGATTTTTTTCATTCGCTTTCGCATTCGCTTTCGTCATGATCACTTTCGTTACAATAAAAATACATTTTGATGTTATTAGAAAATTTAGCTTTAATAAAAAAATGGATGATCATCATAGTTCAGAGAGGGGGTCCAACGCCACACGCTGATCGTTTGTAGCCACATTGCACTGTTTCTAATAAACTTGCACGCCTAGCAATCTTGAACACTGGGAGGTTATAGACCTGTTCTTTTTA